CAAGCACTTGGATTTGAATAGGACAGAAACAAATTGAAATATAAAGGAGGATAATTTTGGAAAGTGATTATAGTCTGGTCAGTGGAAAGCAAAACAAAAAGGTGAAACCAAAATTATGATGGTTTTAATTAATTAATTTATTTTTGCTTTTTAAGACAGGTGTTATTACATATTGTAGTCTATATTAATCTTGAACTCATGATCCTTCTTCCTCAAATTTTGGAATGCTGGGATTACAGGTTTGTACCTGTAATCCAGTTTAGGCTTTATCTAGAATGATCTTTTTGTTCTTAGAATGCAGAGGAAAGAATCTAGTAGGTCAAATAAGATTTAACTTCCAGGTAGAATGAAAATGACATTGTAGGGTGTGATGGTTGCAGAGAAAGTGTTTGCTATGTTTTCTTGTAAACAAATGCACATTTATTTCCTTGGGTGTACTACTTAATGGAATTTGTAAATGTTTAAGTTAATGTTGTTATCAAGTCTCTAGTAAAATTAAGATCTCTTCTACACTCAGATTTTGAACTCATACTTAATGTACCAGGGATGTGTTTTCTTGGGTATTAGCAGGACTTTAGTTGCTCCTTGGAGATCAGAGTGGCTCAGTTCCATTTGTCCATTTGACGATCTTGGCCTGTTTTCTTTAGTCTTTGCCTTATCACTATATTTTTCCTCTTCTTCCTGCTTACTTTGTTTTACTTTTTTAACCTTGTTTGTGTCATTGTTTTTCTGTATAACTTGAAGTTAGTGAAGATAGAATGAAACATTTTAGTGTGTAGAAAATACTGTCAAAAGTAGACTTTCGAGATTATTTAATATAATTATATAAATTTATATATACATTCTAATTTTAAAGATGCTTGAATTTTTAAAAAATAATTTCAATTCAGAGTCGTAGCATTGCTTCCTTTCCTTTTGACACAATAGCATATATACTTTTATTTATTTTGAATTATTAATTATTTTGTTTATTGAAAAATACCCGAGGGAAGTAGAGTCAACAGTGCCTTTGAAATATAATCTCATTTCAGTGGTGGTGGCACCTGCCTTTAATACCAGCACTCAGGAGGCAGAGGCAAGAAAATCTCTGTGAGTTTGAGAAGTGAGTTCTAGGACGGTCAGGGCTATACAGAGAAACCCTGACTGGAAAAATCAAAGAACTGGAAGGAAAAAAAAAAAAACAAGGAAGGAAGGAAGGAAGGAAGGAAGGAAGGAAGGAAGGAAGGAAGGAAGGAAGGAAGAAAGGAAAAAAAAACTCATTCAAAGTCAGTGAGCCATAACTTGAGTGGCCAGGAAAGAAATGCTTAAAGAAACTTTGGGAACCTGGTTGGGGGTGAATTAATGAGAACTGCAAGAGCAGGTTGAGCAGCATCCTCTTGGAAGGGAAGAAAGCCTTTTAATTTTCATACTTTCGGATGCCAAATTCTTTTAAAGACTTAATCTCAACTGCAAGATGTCCTTGTCCCTGAAGGATTTGGTCACTTGGAAACAAGAACTGAAGGAGTGCTAAGTTTTGCCCCAGGCAGTACTTTACACCCATTATGTTTCCTTTCTGCTTCTGTCCTCTTTTTGGAGGGAAAATTTGAGAGAAGGGAAATGATTTCTTAGTAACTTTGTCTAGTTTGTGTTTTACAGTTTAAAGTAACTAAGATATAGAAAAACTTAGGTAGTCTTTTAAAATTTCCTATCAATGTTGAACTCTGAGGAGGAATCAGCAAAGAAATTAAGGTGAACTTGAAGGCGAAAGTTTGTAAAATTGGAAAATGAAATGAAGTGGTGTATTTTTAATTATCAATATGCTTTAGTTTCCATGTGTTTAGAGTATAAAAAGGGGAATGAGTTAAGGCCGGTATTGATCATCATGTGGAGGTTGTGACTCCAAAAATCTAGATTTGTCATCTGTATTTTTAAACATCTTTGGCTAGGGAGAGAGAGGAGAAGAAGATAAGTTAGCGAGTGCCTTTGGGAGATTCTGACACGATACGAAAATACGCAAATTCTCTAAGAGAAGAGTGGCGTCTAGAAACATTGGCTTAAACAATGGAAAACTTGAGTTTTCTGTGACTAAATGAACAAAATTACATTAGCATAGGGAAATGAGGTTGGAGACTGAGATTTACACTACATATTCACCAGAGCTCTCTCATGGTGGAAGAGTTGTACTGTAGGAAAGACAAATTGATAGCTAGGTTAAACCACATTTCCAATTTCTGCTTACAAATTGTATTGCACTGGCAAATCTGAATTTATCGTGCCGAAACTTGATTAATCACAGAATACATACGCTCTTCTTTTTGTAGGCGGCACTCCCCCTATCGCACACTGGAGCCAGTGCGTCCTCCAGTGGTACCCAATGATTACGTACCTAGCCCAACCCGTAATATGGCTCCCTCGCAGCAGAGCCCTGTGAGGACAGCTTCTGTGAATCAAAGAAATCGAACTTACAGGTATTTTCTCTACCTCAGCGCAAAACATGATGGTCAGAGTACCATAATCTGTTCAGATAACTTCAGTAAAGCTCTCTCATTTTCCAAGCACTAAGTTCTTTTTCTCTGCTCTCCCAAACCTCATCTGATTCTTCCTCTCTCTCCCCTCATGCTCTGAGGCAACCTTGAGCAGTCAGGAAGGTGAGAACGACATCTCAAAGTATAAACTTAACAACAAAAGAGACAACCCACGTTCATTCAAAAAACATTATTAACCAGGAATGAAAATTGCAAGTTATTTTTTGGTAGAAATTTAAAGATGAGAAACAACTCATACTAAAATATTAATATATCACCATGCCTTTACAAACTGAAATAAAATAATCTAGTTAATCTGACTGTAAGTTTATTCAGATAGATATTAAGTCAGGGTATAAAAGGTAATATTTATTATTTTAATATATTAAGCACGAACAGTTTGACCTTACATTTATAGAGGATTTCTTTAAGAAAGTGTATAAGATAGCCCTTATAAATAGGTAGTAAAACAAGTTTACTGAACTCAGATTTTGCCCTTATGGTTTATTAAGAATTCATATGGATTTTATTTCTTGTAGCTATATCCATTTCAGAAATACTTGGGAATGTGACATCTCGTTCTCTATATTCATACTTTGATGGCTCTTACTTCTTCAGCAGCAGTGGGAGCAGTGGAGGAAGCCACCCGAGTAGTCGGAGCAGCAGTCGGGAGAACAGCGGAAGCGGGAGTGTGGGGGTCCCTATTGCTGTTCCCACTCCCTCCCCTCCCAGCGTCTTCCCAGGTGAAGCATTTGAGTCCAGTTTGTTGTTGTATTACAGTGGTGCACTTCTCTGTGTATATATGTGCGTGTTTATGTGTGTTGCTGGCTTTTGAACCCAGAGTCTCTTACAGATGGGTTTTCTTCCTAATAAAGATTTTAAAGATTTCCTTAGCATTCCATAAGTATTGGGAAGTCTACACACATTTGTTATTTCTGTCCAGTGATCTTAATTGTTTACTGTCTAATTGTTACTTTGTTTTATGTCTTTGGCGCTAGTTCAGTTGGTGCTTTGGGGTTTCATGTTCATTATGGTATGAGTTACTTCTTTAGTTTCAGTTAGTGTTACACCAGTACCTTTCCTTGGAAATGATGAGGATGTGGTTTGAGAATCATTTTGGTAACAGAGGACAAGAGATGTAAATTTAAAGGAGTATTATAATTCAGTAGTTTCTGAAAAATTATTCCCCCTCCTCCCTGAAACAGAAAAATATAACAGAGTTTGAATTTAGTTTTAAAAGCATGAACACAAAAACATCAAGATAGGGGCTAGAGAGACAGTCATTTAAGAGCCCTTGCTGCCCTTGTAGAAGGACCCAGGTACGGTTTCGGTACCCATGTTGGGTGACTTCAGCTCCAGGTGACCCAACACTCTCTTCTGGTTTCTGGACTACATGCAGATGACACACATAATGCTTTTTAGGCTTACACATGTAAATAAAAATCTTTATTAAAAAAAAAAAACACTAGCAAAATAAGCTGGGTATGTTGGTGCATGCCTTTAGTCCAGTACTTAGGAGGCAGAGTCAGATAGATATCCGAGTTTGAGGCCAGCTTGGTCTACAGAGCTACAGAGCGAGTGAGTTCCAAGACAGCCAGGCTCCATAAGGAAACCCTGTCTTGGAAAACCAAAAACAAACCAAAATAAAAACAAACGCCAAACCCAGCAGCATAGAATATCTTGTAGTAGGTTGTGGTACATGCCTGCAATACAGCATGCATAGGCTAAGGCAGGAGAATCGAGGTGCCAATAGACCAAGTAGTGAGAATTCTGTCTTTCAAACCAAAGCAACATATTTAATTATAACAGTGCAAATAAACAGTACCTTTTTAAAAAGTCATGAAAAGTTTTGTGCATGTTTTAAGGTTTTGCTTTCTTTTTTTCTTTTTCTATCTAATAAGATACTGTCTGGAATATGGGTGTATATTTTGATTCGTGTTGTAATTCTAATAGTATATTGTTGCTTTTTTAAGGTACTGTAGTTTTATATATGTGGGGCATGTCATGATAAAAGTAACAGTATGTAGGAAGCCGTTTTTTCCTAGGTCAGTTACTTTTAGGTAAAAAGAAAGGTTTGTTTTTAACTAACATTTTTCTATCCTACCTGAGCATCTTGAATTATTAGTTCATATAAAACCCTTAACCATTCTTTTTGCAATGCTCTATTCTTTTGACTAGTGTTAAGCGCTGAATACTCTTAGTATTCCAATGCCTTTTCTAACGCTAATATGACTGCCTTATTAATGCTGCCTCTTACTCCTCTTTCCCATCAGCCCCTGCTGGCTCTGCTGTCACCCCTCCTCTTCCTGCTACTTCTGCACCTGTCCCTACCCCTCTTGTTCCTGCTCCTGTCCCATCCTCCACTGCCCCAGATGTTGCTGCTGGGGGCGCACAGACCCTTGCTGATGGCTTCACTTCTCCAACTCCCCCTGTTATTTCTTCCAATCCCCCCACAGGTGAGTATTGGCATGGCAGACAGACCTGGCCATTCTTGCCTGAAACTTCAGCTTTGCTGTATTTGTTGGTTCGGTTTTACTTTTTTTTTTTTTTTAAGTTGATTTGTGAATTTAGTATGGAGTTAACTTCCATACAGTTTTGAAAACTTGCCATTAGAACTATTATAGGGAGCTGGGGCGTTAGCTTAGTTGGTAAAGTCCTTGCTGTGCAAGTGTGAGGACTTGAGTTCTGTCCCCAGGACAGACATAAAAAGCCAGGCAAGGTGGTGTATGTCTGTAATCCCAGTGTTTGGGAACTGAAGCCAGTGCTGTCTTTGTCTAGTCAGCCCGTCCTAATGGGTAAGTACCAGGTCTTAGTGAAAGACATTGAAAACACAAGGTTGACGGCCTCTGGCATACTCAACTGTTTACCTGCACATAGATCTGCATAGAACACCTGTACCAGTACACACACCAGTAATATTGCAGGTTAAGTAATTAACAAAAACAAGCCTATGACGATTAAAAGTTTCATTTTAATGTAATATTCTATATAGCTAATTACAAACTTCTGTGTATATTATAATGAGATTTTTTGCTTATATTTTAGCAGTACCAGAAACTTATTAACTGTGGTTCTAAAGGAGTTCAGGATTATTTAAGTTGATTGGTGTTTTAGTTTAAGATTTTAACCTAGTGCTAGGGAGATGACTCGTCAGATAAGAAAGGGTTTGCTGCCCAGCCTGACAACCAGAGTTTGAATTTTTAGTGGTGGAGATACACACACACACACACACACACACACACACACACTCTCTCTCTCTCTCTCTCTCTCTTTCTCTCTCTGTGGTATGAATGCATCCTCCTTATAAATAAATGTACTCATTCTTTTAAAGATCTCAGCCTCAGGTATGCTTTGCTGGGATAGGTGGTAAAGACTCAGTTACCTCAGAATACTCTGAGCAGTTAATATGATGCTTGTTAGTAAGTAGATTCTTTTTATTTCCCCCCAAGACAGGGTTTCTCTGTGTAACCTTGGCTGTCCTGGAATGTCCTCTGTAGACCAGACTCAGATAACCACCTGCCTCTACCTCCTGAGTGCTAGGATTAAAAGCATGTGTCACCACTACTTGGCTACTAATAAAACATGTTTTAAAAGACATCTTTGTTCAAATTGGGTTTTGGGTAGTGTTCAATTGAGAGAGCCTCTCTATGAAAAAGACTTTTCTGTAATGGATGAGTAGTCATTTGATTGGATATGCAACTCTTACTATACTAGTCGAACTAGTTAAATATAGGAATCTTGTTAATGCTGTAGATGAAGAAATGACCCCTACCTAAAAAATTTAGTAATTAAATTATAAGGTAATGATAGGTATTTGGCCAGGCGTGGTAGCACACGCTTTAATCCCACCACCCAGGAGGTAGAGGCAGGTGGACTCTCTGCATAGTGAGTTCAGGGACTGCCAGCACTACACAATAGAAACACCTGCTGAGGTGTTTATGTTCCTTCTTACTGTTATGTGCTCTTGATGGGTTACAATATGTTCCTTTCAGAGTTGAAGGACATTTGGATAGTTTTTGTCTTGAGGGATTATGAATAACGCTGCCACAAACATTCATATACAGGTTTCTGGTGAGTTTAGGTCATGTCATCTTGGTAAATACCTAGGGAATAGAATTGTTAGGTTGTATTATAAAGGGAATGTGCAATCTATTTATTTTATTTTTGAGATAGGGTCTCACTGTGTAACCCTAACTGGCCTGGAACTCAGATATCTGCTTGCCTCTGCCTCTCAATGGTGGGATCAAAGACAAGTACCACATGCTTGGAATATTTAACTTTTAAAGAAACTACCAAGTTGTTTCCCAAATAACTGTACATTTTTTTGTTTAAACTTCAGTGGTTTTTCCATGCAGTTTTAATTTGCATATCTCTAGTGAATGCTGAGGCTGGGTATCCTTTCATTGTGCCTTTTTGGGGGTGGGGTGCCAAAAATCCTAACTTTAGTTGATATAAATAGATGTCTTTGAAATTGTTTTTTTTTTAAAAGACTGTGAGGGTGGTCGCGCACGCCTTTAATCCTAGCACTGTGGAGGCAGAGGCCAGTGGTTCTCTGAGTTTGAAGCCAGCCTGGTCTACAGAGAGACAGCCAGGGCTAAACAGAGAAACCCTGTCTTTAAAAACAAAAAAAAATTGTTTGTTTTTTATATTTATTTTTATGTGGATGAATGTTTGACCAGAGTATATATATGTGTGTGTGTGTGTGCACCACATGCCTGCCTAGTACCAAAGGACATCAGAAGACGTTAGATCCTCTGCAACTGTAGTTAATGGAGTGCGACACTGAGCTGCTGGGTATACTTAAGACAGATGAAATTTTAGACTGGATCCAACGTCATAAAAATTCATATGGTGGTGTATTTTTTTGTGTGACGATCTTTGCCAAGTATTAGTAAATGGCAGTGCTTTTCTTTCTACCTTTATTTCTTCTCCTTCCACCTTTTCTCCTTTTTCCCTCATCATGTAGCATGTCCTCCTCCTCTGTCTTTCTGTTATCCCTTTCTCCTTTCCATGCCTTGGTGCCTGCTCGACTGTGCTCCTTCATGGGTCCCTTCTACTGCTCTGTTGATGAGGGCCTTGCTGAGTGCAGAGCAAGTGAGGGCAAAGGCAAGGTAAAATTTGGGGTTTGCATTATTAGGAAACTGGATGAATTAGGAAAGGATATTTCCAGTTGATAATAGCAGTGAATAATTCTTTCAAGAGGTTCAAATGAGTAATAAACATGGGTAGGTTACTGCGATGATGATGCAAATTTTGGTTTAGATTTTATAAACAAATTTTAGGATATGCTCTAGCTTTAGAAAAATGAATATTTTGTGTTGTGTGAAGATGGGTTTGACTTGGAGTTACAGCATCAAGTGTTTTGTTGAAATATTTTGTTTTCCTTTTAAACAACTTTCTTTGCTAACTTATCTCCACCATTGTTTTAGAGTAAGATTGTATCAAACATCTTTCTTTTTTCTTTTCCAGAATGTGATTTTTTGTTTAGTCTCCAGTGTTTAGTGGCTGCTTTAAATCATTTATTTTTTGGAGAGGAAGGGGAACCTATCTGTTTTGTGTGCTGTAACAGAATACTGCAGACTAGATTACTTAAATAATTACTTAAAAAAGCAGACTAATATAAATAATAATATAAATATAAACAGACTAATATAATATAAATAATAATTATTTATAAAATATATTTATAATATATTAGTCTGCTTGGCTCAAAGTATTTCATTATCTGATAGAAGCTTCTTTTAATGATGGGTCTGTGTTCTGTTCCTTTCCCAGGTCATCCTGTTCAGTTCTACAGCATGAATAGGCCTGCCTCTCGCCATACGCCACCAACAATCGGGGGCTCGTTGCCCTATAGACGTCCTCCTTCCATAACTTCACAGGCAAGCCTTCAGAGTCAGATGAATGGAGGGCCTTTTTATAACCAGAATCCAGGTTAGGCTCTTCTTTTGCCATTTCTTTCAATTTCTTTCGTGTTGTGCCCAAAAAAAAAAGACGAAAACCAAAAGACAAAAAAGAAAAACCTCTTCAGTTACACATAGTTAACCCATATATAGTAGATAGTTATCCCATATGAAATAGGTACTTGAGATTATTGTTGAGGAGCTGGAGAGATGGCTCCGCAGTTAAGAGCACTTGATGGCTCTTCCCGAGGACCTGGTCTCAGTTCCCAGCACCTATGGCGCTGCCAGGGCATTTGACATCAGCACACAGACATACATGCAGGAAAACACCAATGTACATAAAATGCACATAAATAAACTATCAAAACACTTATTAAATGGATAGATGAATGAATGAGTACTAACTTTTTAATATTGTTTCTACTTTAAGCAGTCCTTGTATGACTTGGTGTAAAGCTAAGGAGTTGCTTTTATTCTCTCGCTCTGAATGTAGTCATTTTCAGTGGATGGAATTTGCCTTTAAAAACTACCATTGTGCTAGACATGCAAGTGCTTCCTTTTATTTCAGCATCATGGGGTAGAGGCAGGGAGAGTCGGCAGCCTAGGCTTGTAGAATTGAGATCCTGTCTCAAGTGGAGTATGTATGAAAACAGTATTTTCTTTTTGTTTAGTAAGACATCATTGCTTTATGAATTACAGATGAAATTGGGTATACATTAGACAGTCAAACTGTCTTAACTCGATTATCATATCAAATACCCTGATGGGTATGAGGGACTTGGAAAAATTGGTCTAAATATAACAATTGAAATAAAGAATTGAATCATATATACAGAAGAGCTAATCTTGCACACTTACACTTGAACACTACAATAATCAACATTTTGTTCATTTCCTAGAGAATTCACAAAAATTTTAGGCACCTTAACCATGAGTGTATTATGTCAACTTACTGTTTTGTTTTTAATTTGCTAAGAGGTAATGAAGCCTCTGGGTTCCTCTGATTCTGGGGACAGATCATTCAATCTCTCATAAGCCTTGAGTTTATGGAGCAGAAATTAATCTGTTAGTGAAACCTTACTTAAACCCTTTAGAATCTTGCAAAAAAAAATTGACTTTCCTCTTATTATCTCACTTGATTTACATATGGAAAATAAGATTGGTTATAATATTTAAATGCTTTTAAGTTTTTAAAATTTTATGTGTATATGAATGTTTTGCTTGCAAGTACATATGTTTTTGTACTATGTATTTGCCTAATGTCTACAGAAGCCAGAAGAAGAAATTGTATCCCTTAAAATTGGAGCTGTAGATGGTTGTAAACTGCCATGTGGGTGCTGGGAATTGGATCTGGGTCCTCAGGAAGAACTGTCGTACACTTAACTGCTGAGCAATCTCTCCAGCCCAAGAATGGTGATATTTACATATGTATTTTGTATATGAAACCAAGGCAAGGTATTGGTCAAGATAGACTTGAACTTAATGGTTTTTTTCTTATTCTTTTCTTTCTTCCTTCCTTCCTTCCTTTCTTTCTTTCTTTCTTTCTTTCTTTCTTTCTTTCTTTCTTTCTTTCTTTCTTTCTTTTTGTTTTGATTTTTTGATTCTGTATTTCATGACTTTTCTATTGTCCTGTCCTACCTAACTTCTTCACCTGCTAAGGCTTCTCCGTTTCTGCTAGAGAAGAAAAAGGAGGAAGGGGAAGTCTCTATTACGGTATAGGATATACTAATGGTGGAATCCTTGTTAGTGGTTATGCAGGACTGTCCTGAGAAAATTGTTTAAAAATATTGTTGAATATTAAATGAAACCTCACTTCTTAATCCAAATTTTCTTCACTCTCCTGGGCTCCTCTCATTTATGGAATGCTGTATTTGTAGTTAACCTAGTGCAAAATGCAGGGTGAATCCTCCTAATTGCCTTGATTGAAATGTATTTCTCCTTTCATGCTTAGTGTTTAAGGCTGTGTTTATGCTTTTCCTTCTTTCTTTCTTTCTTTCTTTCTTTCTTTCTTTCTTTCTTTCTTTCTTTCTTTCTTTCTTTCTTTCTTTCTTTCTTTCTTTCTTTCTTTCTTTCTTCTTTTTTTAGGTTTTTTTGAGACAGGGTTTTGTTGTGTAGCCTTGACTGTCCTGGTTCACCTGCTTCTACCTTCCAAGGGCTGGGATTCAAGGCATGAGCCACCACTGCCCCCACTTTTAAACAATGTCTTATTTAGACTGGTTTTGAACTTGTGGTTTTACCGATCCTCCTGCCTGAGCTTCCTGAGTGTGTGTGTGTGTGTGTGTGTGTGTGTGTGTGTGTGTCCCATGCTTGACCATTAAATACTTCTTTTTCCCCAGTCCTTGAATTTTAGTTTATTAGATATAGTTTTCTAGAAGAGGGGCTAGCTCTCTTGGGTATCTGGAAATTACTGCTTACAGTTCCTTAATCTAAAGTGGGTTATATCCATAATGAAGTTGGGAGAGGATTCACTGTTACAATTTTGATACCAGCTGTACAAGGTACTTAGTAATACTGTGGAGGAATATTTCATGCTGTGTGTATATACTCAGTACTCCTATAAAAACTCTCAGGTAAAATTTGACAGCTCTTTAAACATCTGTTTCATGTATTTAATTTTTGCAGTATTAAAGATTGAGTCTAAGGCTTTGTATTTGTTAGCCAAGTGCTCTACTCTTGCCTTATGTTTCTAATGGACTAAAGATTTCATATTTCAATAATACTTTATAACTCAGATTCATATATGCCAAAATATATTTTAAAGTAGAATTAAATCTTTAGAGAATAATTTTAATCTAAGTATTAATAAGGTGAACTGGAATTGTTTGGATCATGAGAGGCCCCTCAGCTGTCAGTATTTTCTGTACTCTAAGTTCTGCCTTTCTTCTATTGGAATTTGGTAACTTTAAAGAAGACAATTATAGCTCTGTGCTATAATTAATTAGTTAATTATAACTAATTAACATCAGCTATAATCAATCTGTTTTTAAAACCTACTTTTAAAAAAAAGCAAAGCTCTATTATGTCCTTTTGGTGGGAGAAGTTTCTGGCTTTTGCACCATGATCCTTGAACATGTCAGGCAAGTGTTCTATGATTTTTCTACACTCAACCCAAGTATGTTTTTTATTTGACGACTCTTTTGTAAGATGTAATACTTAGTGAATTATTTAGTGAACAAAATGATGCTTATTTTTTATGAACCCATATATTTTAGTCAGAGCCTTGCCATAGATGTATGCTTCCAAAGAATGAAGTTTGACAAGGCAGTGGGGTTCTGTGGAGTATAAATCTGATAGCATTCCTCCTAACGCTGTCAACCACTGAGCCATCTCTCCAGCCTACCAACATTGTATTTTAATAAAAATAATATAACTTATTCTAAATTCAGAGATATTTCAAGTGGTTCTAGAATAAAGGTCTTATATGAGGATATATCTTAGGTAAATGATGGGAATATACAAATTTGTAAAGTTACTTCCCATTCTTTTGTTGTTGTTGCCGAGAATGAAATTTAAAGCCTTTCACATAGGAAGCACATATTCTACCACTAAGTTGTACTGCAACTTCTGCTTTTTGCTCTTTTCTGTTCACAGGAATAAACAGAACCAGGTATAACTAAATTCTGGTTAGATGAGCCTCTTAGGGTTTCTATTGTGAAGAGACATCATGACCATGGCAACTCTTATAAAGAAAAACATTTAATTGGGGTCCACTCATAGTCTCAGAGTCTGTTATCTTCATGTCAGGACATGGCAGTGTGGAAGCAGACATGACATGACTGGGGAAGGAGCTAAGAGTTCTACGTCTTGATCCACAATCAACAGGAAGGGAACTGTGTCACTCCCCCCCCCCCCCAACACACACTGATACACTTCCTCCATTAAGGCCACACCTACTCCAACAAAGCTACACCTCCTGATAGTGCCACTCCTTATAGGGGTCATTTTCTTTCAAACCACAACAATGAGTTTTTGAAATTTTCCTGAGAAAAGAAGGCATATTCATCTTTAAAATGTAATAAGCTTAGTTTGTCCATAAAAAGACTGTTGTTTACATTATGCATGTATTTTTTCTTTTTTTTTTTGTCAAGTACAAAAGTTACTGCCTTTATTTAGTGGGTAAATAATAAGTGAGGAGAGAGATTCCCACTTTTCTGTTTGAGAGGAAGGAAGGAAGGAAGCAAGCAAGCAAGCTTGATGTGTTTGTTTTCAGAAGGTGTTCAGTGTTACAGAATGTGTATCCTGATGTCCTGTGCAATGCACTGCTGTTCTGCGGTTTCTTGGCTGCTCTCTTGCTCCCACTCTGCTTACTGTCTCTTAGCAGCATGCAGAGGTGCCACCACACCTCAGTCTTCGGAGTGAGGGATTTACTGCCAAGAAGTGTGATTTTTAGGGAAAAATCTAAAACCCAAGTCACCTTTTGAAGAGAGACCAGTTTATGGATGTTATGCTCGTTCTCCTACATCTAGACACTCTTAAAAGTGGTCCGTTAGCTTTTCTCTGTATATTTACATGTTCTTGCCTGTCTGTGTACCCTGTCAGCCATTACCACTTTACTGATAGCTACTAACTTTATACTTCTTGAGGTTTAATATCTCCCACCCATATTTTCCTGTTGCCTCTCATTTTTATGCTTAAGTTATCCTCATGCATCCCATTTATTTTGCCTTCATCTTTTCAATTGTGTCTACAATCACTACCCCGTGCTTTTCCCATACTTAACTGCCATGGTTAGTGAGTTAATAGCTTCTTTAACTTTAATCACAAAGCTTTGTGATTTTTGTTATCCTTGTATGCTAGTTAAATCATTAATTATCATATAGTGGCTTACCTACATGTAACAAAGTTTTTCTTTTGTTTCTAGAATTTGCCTTGATTTGCTGTTTCCAGGGCTTGATTAAGCTTTTGAAATAAAATCTGTGCTTCTACTATGTGAAATAGGATTGTATTATCTCTTTCTCATATTTATGATTGTTTGTTTTTTTTTTTTCGAGACAGGGTTTCTCTGTGTCTTTCTCATATTTATGGATTAGATCTAGAGTATCTAATTGTCATGGTGTCTAAACACAGAAAATGTAACATCAAGAATTTGAGGCACAGTGACTTAAAAAAAATCAGTCTCTTTACCGAAGCCCTTCATGTACATCCTCTTTCCATGTCCGCACACTCACCTTTTTACAACTTTCATCAAATATTTACTTTTGTTTTATGTCTCGGTGTTTTGCCTGCATGAAGGTATATATATGCACCACATCCATGTTGTGTACCTGTGGAGGTCATCGAGGTGTGTGGATTCATGGAACTAGAGTTACAGATGGCTGTGAGCCACCATGTGGGTGTTGGGAACCAAACTCGGGTCCTCTGCAAGAGGCAACAAGTGCTCCTAACAGCTGAGCCAATTTTGCGGCCCTGTTTGTTTATTTATTTGCCTTTTTGAGAAATGTTTTCTCTGTGTAACAGCCCTGGGTGTCCTGGAACTTGCTTTGTAGACTAGGCTGGCCTTGAACTCAGAGATTTGCACGCCTCTGCCTCCAGAGTGCTGGGATTACACACATGTGCCACCACTGCCTGGTTTAAGTTTTAAACATATCTTCTATGTAGCCATATAGAGGGAACATTTTTGGTCCTGTGAACTCTGCTCATGCTGTTTTATGCCTCTAAGCCTTTGCCCTAACTTGGTTCCTTAACCTTGATTGTCTTTCTTAAGTTCTGCCTGCTTAGCATACATCATTTCTTCAAGTATTTGCTCGGAGATCTGTTCTCTGTTGCCTTCCTCCTTGTGGCCAGCACTGTCTCCTAGGAAATTAATTCCATTAAGAATATGGCTACCATAGTATATATACTTTCTGAAGAGAACTGTAACTATAGAGTTAACCTTCTAAAAATTATTTTGATATCTGCTTTATTTGTTCATACTTAAATATCTGTTGAAGGCTTCCTAAATTGTGCCAGGCATTTGAGATGGAGGCACACATCCTGGGAGAAGAATAGTGGTGTTTCCTGTAGGACTAAGGAGGAAATATAATGAATTGGAGTTATGAAAACTTGCAGTAAGAGCATCTGACTCTCAGTGTAAGACTCTAATAACTGGACCAGCAGAGTCCTTGCCTCTTAGCAAGAACCCAGGCCATACTTGTTTAACTAAATAAAGATCCAATTAATGTTTGTTTATTGTTACCGAAGTAATAAAATGCCTATTTAGGTTGTTGGGATGTCATATTTTTTTTCTGCTATACTGACAATTTAGAAAAGCAACCAGTTGTTCATGGTAATCAACAGAGATGGTATTTGCAAAGAGGATTGGTTCCCATTACATAGAACAGATACGTGCATGTTAAATGGTGCCTGTTGTAGTTCTAAGGCTTACTAAAACTCTCTAGTGTGTTATTTTGTTTATAAAGTTACCCTCAAAAGTGGATCCGTAAGGTAGACAAATGTTTGTGAAAAGTGGTTTTCCTCCTTTATATATTTTATTGTATTATCCTTTCCTTTTAATATAACTTGCCCTTACCCCTTATCCTCCACACCTTTTTTGTTTTTGCAGTATCTCTTGCTCCTCCTCCTCCTTCCATCCTACAGGTAACTCCTCAGTTACCTTTAATGGGATTTGTGGCCAGAGTCCAAGAAAATAGTAAGTTTATGTCTTCTTTATGCTGTAGTTCAGATTATAGGCATAGAATGTAATTTACATATGACTGACTGAATAGTCATTCACAGTGCTCCTTGCATTTGGATAGTCACTGTAAGAATGGCTAGTGGTGATGATAACCTAATAGAGGTGGGCCCGAGAGAGATCCAGGACCATCCCACACTTCTGCCTCTGCAGATACTGGCACTCATATGCACTTCACACTTCTACACGCAATTAAAAAGAAAGTTAAAAGACAATGATGGTAAATTTCTATGCTTTCAAATGACTTTTATAGCTCAGAGCACATGCTTAGCTTACATGAGATTCCAGATTTGGTCCCCAGAACCGTAACTAAAATACCACTACTGATACCCACAAAGTTTTAAAGGTAAAACAAGTACACATACAATAGTATAAGTGAAAGAGAGAAAAACTGCACAAGGAGATATTCTAATTGCCAAATAAATATCCTGCTTTTTTTCTCAGTTGCCTAGACAAAGTGGTAGGCTAGTTAGCTATTACTAGAGATGTGTTATAGGTAGCTTGAGTCTATAACTCTCTCCCATTTCAAGTATAAAAAAGGACCACACCACAGTAGGGTATAGAAGATCAGTCTGTCAGTTTGTCTCCCAAAAAGCATAGATTGGCAATGAATTTTCTTTGGTTTGTGGTCTGCTGTTGAATCATCATGCATTGTCATATAACTAGTTTTATTGGTATTTCAAGTCTTTTGGGGAAGCATTAAGGAAGCTCAGGAGACTTTATTTCTAAATTGGGAGGCCTGTGATAACATTTGGTGATGAATGGCTGTTAGGGAAAGAAATTAACAGTCTCTGTGATAGGTGATTAAGGAACCAAATTAGCCTAAGGTCATGTAATCTAAACTTAGAGGAGTTACAGTTGATCCTTGAATAATAGGGGTTTGAGTTGTTTGATGGTAAAGGACAGACAAGACTATTTTGCACAGCTACAACACATTTTAATAATAGCATCCAGAAAATACCCATAAATCTATTATAAAAAGTTAAAATCAAAGTCAAGCATAAAAACATTGTATCAAACATTTGATAATGTCATTTATCAAAGTCAAGCATCAAAACATTCACAGGGCACACACGACCTCTTCTGTAGATGTAGTATTGTTGAGATGGCAGCTGCACAAGATTAACCTGTGCTGCTTTTTTCTCTAACGCTTTGTCGTCTTCCAGCACTGTTGTGAACTCAAGTTGCAGATCTGCTTAGAATAGAGAGTTAGGCTAATTATCCTTGCATTCCCAGTAAATTGTCTATTAAGGTAAAAAGTGTTCTCCTGAGGGTGGGGTGCAGCTGGGTTGGTAGAGCACTTGCCTAATGTGCAAAGGCCCTAGGACTAATTTCTGCCACTGGGTGGTTGGGTATTGAGAGTGATTAATTGTGATCTCTCATAATTTTTTTACTGTATATAATATGTTTGACAGAATAAGTGTTAATTGACTACTTAGCAAGGCTTCCTGTCAGTAGCAGGCTATTAATAGGTTTCTGGAGAGTCAGAAGTTACAGGTATTTCTGACTTATGATGATTAAGGAGAGGTGGGGAGAGGTGGTATAATCTGTGCTTTTGTTCAAGGGTCAAAATGTATATTAAGATAGTCATCAGGCTGTAGTTGTCCACTGTGCACCTTTCATATAAAGGATGATACAATTCCTGGACTAGAAGTAATTATAATCTCTTGCTAAGATTCTCTGGAAGTAGGCATTTAATAATGTAGGGTCTATTGGAGCAGGGGCTTTGATCACTTTGTTTGCTGCCTGTGTCCCTGGCACTTAAAATGTCTGCCCGGCAGCAGGCACTTTGGCCTCCCCCTGCCCTTTTTTTTGTACTTTATGTTTGTATTTTAACTGGTTGTAGTCTAGTCTGAGTGCCCATCTAAGTTAGGGTTTCTGTTGCTGTGATAAGACGCCATGAGCAAAAGCAATTTGGGGAGGAAAGGGTTTATTTTGTTTTTACTTCCAGCTGTCAGCCCATCACTGAAGAACCTCAGGGCTGGAACCAAGCAGGGCAGGAACTTGGAGGCAGGAGCTGATGCAGATGCCTGCTCTTCATGGCTTGCTCAGCCGGCTTTCTTAGAGTACTCCTGACCATCACCCGCACTCGGCTGGGCCTCCCACATCAATCACAAATGAAGAAAATGTATTACAGACTTGTCCCAGACCAGTCTGGTGGGAACATTTTCTCTATTGATGTTCCCTCTTCCAGAATAACTGTCTGTGCCAAGTTGACAGAAAAGTAGCCTGGGATAGGGCCCAAGGGTTGAATTTGTCAGGTGCCTTTGCTCTCCTATTTGCTGATGTCTAAAAATAGTTTGTTTATTATTTCTGTTTATTAGAAGGTATTCTATGAACTTTAATGCATTGTAATTTTAAATATGTAATTTTAAATATGTTTTCTTAAATTTAAGAGCATTTTCATTTATGTCCAAGTATTTTATTTTTTTATGTTTCAAAATTATGCCTTTTCAACCTACTGTTTTTTTGGCTTGTGTGTGACCCATGCTGGCTTCACGAGAAACATTTGCATAGCAATGGTCAGTAGGTCTAGTGTGTGCCAGGTACAGCCATAGTATTAACCTTTGCCAGACTTTGAGGTTAAATGTAGGTTGGAAGACTCTGCATTTAAAATTTCTGGAAATAGCAGACTGATTAGAAAGGGCTTTTTGGAGTTCCACATTTTAGTTGCAGTGTCAGCCCAGTAAGAGTGGCATTCCCTGCATCACCAATGAGTTTAAATTCCTTGAGTAAAGAAGACAGTTAAATAGTAAGTGGAAAGTTGGTTTGTTTTTTTTCTTTGAATCAGCTGATATGATGAACATTCAGATTTTGAAACTGGCTTTGAAGATTAATAATCTATCAGAATATTTTCTTTTTTTTCTTCAAAAATTGGACTTGAAAGTTAAGTAGGATCATCAAACTAGTCATTAACTTTGACAAGTAATTAGTGAAAGTTGTCAGGTTTGTAGAAACATCAAATATTTCATAAGTAGAAGTAGTGTTTTAATGTTATTTAAGTACATATGTGTTTAAGACTTGCCGCTTGAATTTACAATTGTAAAACATTATTATAGCACCACCGTTAGTATTTTAAAAGCCATTTTCCCTGTGTATGAGGTATACTGGGATTGGCTTAACAGTTGTGGTAGGGCTTATGCATTCAAAGAAATGTTATTTTCTTTAAAACATGCACCTAGGAAAGATGTGTATCTTTGTTTTAGAATCATCTTAAGACTTCCTAGGCATTATTTTAAAGATAGTCTGTGGAAATAATATTTTTTGCATTAAATTTAATATGTGGAAGAGTCTGGAATCACTTGCAGTATTTATTATTTAATATATTAAACTACTTACACTGTGATAAAATGTGCAAATATACCCGTTATTATTTTTTAGAATTCTCATATGACACCCTGTTGACAGAGGTTTCTATCCCTCCTGGTCCTTTAGCTGTTCAGTCCCAAAGAAACACATAGATTATTATAATAATATATTTATAATTTATAATATAATTATAAATCATTGGCCTCTTAGCTCAGGATTCTTATTAACTAACTCTTACATCTTACATGAACCCATTGTTCTAGTCTGTGTTAGCCATATAGCTTGGTACCTTTATCAGTGAAACAGTCTCATCTTGCATCCTCTGCATCTGGGTGATGACTGCAGACTGAGCCTTTCTTTCCTCTTCCCAGAATTCTTCTGTTCTCACTGCCCTGCCTACACTTCCTGCCTGGCTGTCCTGCCTATACTTCCTGCCTAGCTACTAGCCAATCCGTGTTTTATTAAAACAATACAAGTGACAGATCTTTACAGGGTACAAGACAATGGTCCCATAGTACTTCTCCCACCCCCACACACTTTTTTCTTTTTAAAACAGAAACTCTGAATCTAATCTCCTTTGTTTAGCTTTCTTCCTGACCATTATCCATAACAATTTGTAACCAACACTCTAAACAAAGACACATCCATAATCCAGTTTTGGGGAATGTGGGTGAGTTTTCCAGGCTACTTCCTGTTGGTTGGGGGCACTGATAATCTTATGGGGACCTAAAGAAAATTTAGGATTATGATCAAGTCATGACTGAAATACTCTGTGAGGCTTGATCATCTCAGCCAGCAGTACTGAACTTTTCTAGATGTGTCAGAGGAAACCCCAACAGAGGTCCTCTGAAATGTTGGATCATCTGGGCCGTCTGCTCCTATTGGAGATTTCCCAGGGGGGGGGGTCTTCCTTGATCAAACCTGACTTTTCTTAACCCAGAATGAATCCACAGGCTCTGCTTTCCTGTGGAAACAAAAGCAAAACCTCTCCTCTAGAGTAACATATCTTTTTGTTTAAAATTTGAAGTCAAGGAAGTTTCAAAATAGATATGTTGGATTGATCCCACAGCATTTACAATCAAATGTCTTTTAGCTGCTGTTGCTCTTACCTCAGTCATCAAACAATTCAAAGACAACACAATAACATACAGTACCCAGATTCTCTGTGTATTTTCTATCTGAAAGTGGCTTTATTTTAAACTTTATTTCTTTTATTTTTATTTTTAATTTTTGGTTTTTGGAGACAGGGTTTCTCTATGCTTCTTTGGTTGTCCTGGAACTCACTCTGTAGACCAGG